AGTCTGATGCAACTAAAATAACTGATGATGCTCATTTGCAACTCAGATAACTGATGGTGCTCATTTCCTCTCAAAACATGCAATCCAGGTTCTAAAAACCAGCAGATCTTACCTATTACAGACCCTGACATGACAGCCCCGGTCACGCACAGGCTGTTCCTCAGCTCTGCCTGCAGGAACCTGGTGGCCAGCAGCAGCAGGAGTGTGTTTTCCACCAGCATTATCTGCAGAGCAGAGGGAAGAGTTGTCATTTTTATCCTGCTGATGGCTTTAGAAATGCTTCTGATGACAGAAAACACCCGTTTTCTAGATTTTGCTGATTTGTTTTGCACCTAACTTACCACTCAAAACGTAAGGGTTGCTGGACGGAACTTTCTGCAAGGTCTCAACCTTTTTTTACCATGAAAAATAACGCTGGCAGAGCAGCACTGCCACTCTGGTCTTATTACGACGTTGGATGGCTGCTGCTCAGAAAACAAAGCCCGTGCTGAAGGTGCACCCACCTTGGTGACCACAGTAAATGCTGAATTTTTATCAAGTGGTGATGTGAGAAATGAGAAAGGAGAGCCTGAAGCTATTTCTTCTCCCCAGAAGCTGCATCCATGTGGAATACCGAATATCCTAGGTACTTACTGCATAAAATACAGCCACCCTGTGCTTGGAGGGACCGGGCCGGACATTAACGTAGCAGAAGATGTACACGGCTCCCACCAGGCAATTGAACAGCCTCCAGCGGCACGGCTGGGCCACGATGTCTGTCTGCTGGGCCACCAGCCAGAAGGACATGAGCAACCAGTGGACACCTGCAAGGGGAAGGGACCAAAGCGGGAAAGCTGTCCGGGGCGAGGCTGTGAAGCGCTCCAGTACGAGGAGCATCTCTGGAGCTGACAGTAGGGTGGGACATGGGGAAGATGACCACAGGTCTTACCTGCCACAGCAAAAACCCAAAAGGAATACAGCCTGGCAAAGAGCACCAGGGCCAGGACCCTGGTCCCCAGCATCCCCGTCCTCCAGAGCAGCAGGCAGAGGATGGCCGCGGCCGGCGGGCAGAGGTGCCCGGGTTTCAGCAGGCAAGTGAAGCGGCTGTAGGAGACCAAAGCCGAAGCGAGGGAGAGCAGGGACAGCCCAGCGCTGACACCTGCGCGGGGACAGGGATAGTCAATGCCGCGCAGGACGCCCACCTGCCTTGTAGGACCATATTGCGATGCTAAGGAGCTGCTGGTAGCACGGCACCCCGACACAAGCCAGACACCCCACTGTCCTGCCAACTGGAGTATTTCAACCAGTTCCTGCTGGATCCGGTCTCCTCTGCACACTTGGCACCTCCCTGACTAAACCCTCTGACCGCTCCCTGCCACCGGCAGAGCTCGGCAGTGGCAGAGCAGGTCCATCCCCGGTCGCCGTGAATGGACCGGAGACTGGCACTGACTTGAGCATGACCTCGTGCTCGCCGTGACTCCACGCTCCAGCTTCTCCCTTTGCACACCCGAAACTTCACCTTTTCTACAAAGCAGCCCCAACCCCCTAAATTCTCGGCATTGCACCGTGATTAGGGCTGGACCATCAACAGGAACATGTGCTGGGTTCAAACCCAGCCCAGGAACACTGTCTGCCATGGGGGTCTCCTGTACGGGGGTGCTGACTGTACCGGCCAGGAGAAGGGGCAGCTCAGAGGCTCCTCCAGGTTCAGTCACAGGAGAGCTTTAAGCCACATTTGTCCCTGCTCCTTTGCACTGGGGCTTCCCAGTGCCTTTGCAGTGTGCTCCTCCACCCAGAGCCTGCCCTGCGCCCTGCCGGGTGGGCACAGGCATCCCCCACCCAAATGCATCACCCCTCTGCAGCTCAGAGCATCCTCCTGGGAACTCCCCGCTCACCGGGGACGAAGCCCGTTGAGTCGACTGCCACGACGACGTAGGCCTGCAGCAGGAGGTGAGGCAGGGTCTGCAGCAGGGCTTCCAGGAGCCGCAGCACACACACGTCCCCGTGCTGAGTCAGCACCTCGCTGGCACGGGTGCTGCAGCCCGCCTTTGCCTCCGTCCGTAAAATATCCCAGTACCTGCAAGTGTCACCGTGACGGGACGTCCGCCCTGCTTTCGGCAGGTTTGGGACTGTGCCTGGGTTTGGGCGGAGGGGGGAATGGATGGACCACGGGGAGCATCTCTCACCGCTTCCAGAGGCCCAGCTGCAGGAGGTGAAGCACCAGGAGCCAGCAGCCAGGTGGGCGGCCGTCTGCCCTGAACCAGAGGATGCTGAGGAGCTGGGCCGCGTAGCCGGGCACCACGCAGGCGGCGGTCAGGCTGAACCAGCCCAGCTGCCCTTGGA